TAATGAACGGATAGAACATCGCTTCATGTGAATTTATTTATAGTCGTAGGATCCACATGGACTAATGAGGTGTCCCTGTAAAAGTCCTGTATATGCAATCGGTAAACCTGACAATTTCTGACACTGTTGATGCAAATTTCCAAGTGAATTTGGTAGGGCATCCTTGTTTTCCTGGCGTGTTTGATCTTCCAAATCATTGAAATGCAGATTTACTTATATTGGTCAATCATGGTGGGAATCTAGCTAGCTTTCAGGTGATTAATCTTTATCACAGACCAGAATTTCCAGACCCAATTAAATGAAGTGGAAGATGCAATTGGTCAAGTACTTTCCACTGTGTGTTCTATTCTTTTGCAGAATTATTAAGGAAGCAGACGAAGTAATCTGTGCCATTGTCCCCTTTAACTTGTCTCCATCGGAGAACATCTCAAAAAAGATGAGTCATTCGGGCTGTGGGGCAAACATCCATGAAATGAAAAAAACAAAAAACAAGAAGGGAAATTGCCAAGATACAACATATTTATTTACTAACATGGTAGAAAAAGAAGTGCCAAGAAACACCATGAGAAGTGAAGATGCATGCAATTCAGCAAATTACCAGGGAAACTAAGCTGGATGGCTAAGACGGGTCAAGATTAAGGCCATGGATGCCTTAAGGGTCAACGGTTGTAGCTGTTTATCATCAGTTTTGGGTCAATTCTCTTTAACTGGAAATTGCTAAGATACATGTTTATGTACTAACATGGTAGAAAAAGAAGTGAATGAACATGCATGCAATTCAGCAAATTGCCAGGGAAATTAACCTGGATGACCAAGACGGGTCAAGATTGGGGCCATGGATGCCATAAGGGTCAACACTTGTAGCTGTTCATCATCAGTTTTGGATTAGTTGTCAATTCTCTTTAACTGGACTTGGACTTAGAATTTCAATTAGCTTGAATAGGAACCTCACGTTTATCTTGTTTTTGAAGGGCAAAGGAAAATGAATGGAATTGAAGGGAATACAAGGAAAAAATGCTCCTCAATTTAAGAAGAAAGTGGAAGGAAACAACCTTTTTTCGTGAAATTCATTCACAAATTGTTACTATAATCTACAAATACTAGCTATATGAAGGTAAAAATTTTATGAATTTCTTTATTTAACTTGGATGGCAATTTTTTTTAATTTGTCTTCACGTTTTTAATTGTAATTATTATGTTAAAATTTTTTTTTCGAATTTCTTAATTCTAACTTGGATGGCAATCTTTTTAATCCTACCATAGAAATCAACTTAATCTCCCTTGATATAAACTCAATACCTCCTCCATATCTCAGTCAAGTCTTTTGCCACTTATTCATGAAATAGTGATTATTAATGCCAACGTAATTTTATTTGTTATGTCTTTTAATTAATTATTTTTTTACATTTTTTGATGATATGTGTTTTTTTTAATATGAGATAAATAACATATATTATTTCAATCAAAATAACTAAATTTAAATAAACCACGGGAACTTAATTTACATTAGTTACGAAACAATGTATTTTTCTTTTTTTGAGAATAAAGACAGTGTATTTTCAATAAATAGTCATTTCACCCTTTAATAATATTTAGGGTAAATAACTGAATATGTCTTTGTATAATAGCTTGAGTTTTCAATAGGTTTCTACTTTTTAATTGCATCTATTATGTATATAAATAATATTTAAATTTTCAATCTGTCATTACAATCAAATTTTTTATTTATCAAAATACCCTTGAATAAAATACAAAAAAAAAAAATCACTTAAAAGATATGGCTTGAATGTTCTATTTTGTGACGCATTTAGATTTTTTTTTTTTTTTTTTTTTTTTTTTTTTTGCATTTCAATCATAAGTATTTCCGTCAAAAAATTTGTTTATAATTGAAAAAATTGATGAAAAAAGATATTAGAAACTTAAAAATTATTCAATAATATAATAAATATAATTAGAAATAGAAAAACAATTAAAATTTGAATTATTATATAAAAAAATATTGAATTATTTGCTTAATATTTAAGCTTAAAGCTTTTATTTTGATTCGGTAGCTCAGATTCAATAAATATGACCCAATCATAGATATTTAGAGGAACTGAATTTGTAACAAAAAACAGTGTAAAATGAATTGTCATTATCAAAATTTTCACTTTAATTAATAACTTAAGCTGGCATATGCAACTTTATTTCAAAACGAAAAGGATGGTTAGACATTAACGAGTCTTCCACTCTTCACCTGGCATTGCTTCCTCTTTTTAAACAAGAATGGATAGACGTTCGACACATACCTGTTAAAACCCTTCATGCCATTGGTTCTTGCTAGAGAGACCTGCACTTTTCAGTCAGTTCAAAAGGGCTAGAAACGTTCATTAATTTTTTTTTTTTTTGGGAATCCCGATTCAAGCAAACGCTCCTATAGGTCCATTAATTTTTCTTAATTTATCATTGATGCGTGTACTTTTCACCATTCTTAACATCAGATAATGCTTTCACTCAACTGCGATTTAACAAATGTTTTATTGTTATTATTGATTTTACTAAAATTGCTTAATGAGTTCATTTCCGACTGCATTGAGATAGATTAATTCATAATATCAAATTGATGTATTCACTAAAATTTTCTTGATTTGAAATACGAATGACAAATGTGTTTTGTGTATGTTTAAGTTCTAGTTCATGAGTGGTTTTAGCAAAATTTATTAAAAAATTAAATAGAAAAATATTAGAATGAAAAAAAATTAAAAAGGAAGGACCAAAGGTGACTGTGTATGCTAAATGTGGCAGTGAATTAAAGTGAAAGAAAATTGGTTAATTAGTTACAAAATTTAATGAAAAAATTATAAAATTTTGAAATGATTATTCGATCCACGAGTAACACGGTTAACTTTAAAAATTAATTTTCGCATCATCATTAAATAAGAATTTTTTTTCGTTAATTTTTATACAAATCTATCCATTAACTATAACTTTATTTTTGAAATATAATATTATGAAAAATATATTTTTGAAAGTTTTTTTTAATTTTTTTTTAATATTTTGGTTTAATTTATTACAAATTTTTATTTAAAATCAATTTATAAAGAAAAATGAATTATTTTTTTAAATAAAAAATTTATGAAAAGCATTATACAAAATTATTTAATATAAAATTTAAAATAATTTTATTCTGTCGTACTTTCTACTGTGTGTTCTATTATTTGCAGAATTATTAAGGAAGCAAACGAACCCTTTGCCTCCATCGGAGATCAGCTCAAAAAAGCTGAGTCATTTGGGCTGTGGGGCAATGAAATGGAAAAAACAAAAAAGAAGGGAAATTGCCAAGATACAGCATATTTATGTACTAACATGGTAGAAAAAGAAGTGCCAAGAAACACCATGAGATATGAAGATGCATGCAATTCAGCAAATTGCCAGGGAAATTAAGCTGGAGGACTAAGACGGGTCAAGATTGGGGCCATGGATGCCTTAAGGGTCAACACTTGTAGCTGTTCATCATCAGTTTAGGATTCGTTGTCAATTCTCTTTAACTGGACTTGGACCTAGAATTTTAATTAGATTGAATAGGAACCTCACGTTTATCTTGTTTTTGAAGGGCAAAGGAAAATGAATGGAATTGAAGGGAATACAAGGAAAAAATGCTTCTCAATTAGGAAGAAAGTGAAAGGAAACAACCTTGTTTCATGAAATTCATTCACAAATTGTTACTATAATCTACAAATCTATCTAAATTTAAATGAACCACCAGAACTTAATTTATATCAGCTACAAAACAATGTTTTTTTTTTTTTTAGAATAAAGTCCGTATATTTTTTAATAAATAGTTATTTCACCCTCTAATAATATTTATGATAATTAACTAAATATATTCTTGTATAACTGTGAGTCTTCAATATGTCTTTACGTTTTTTATTACTTCTATTATGTATATAAATAATGTTTAATTTTTCATTCTATCATTTTGATAAATTTTTCTAATCATAGATATTTTTTCCCCAAAATATCCTTGATTAAAATGCAACAAAAAAAAAATAATAATAACATAAAGAAATTGCTTAAAGGATATGGCTTGCATGTTCTATTTTTTTTAAAAAAAATCCTTAGATTTTTTTTTTTCATTTCAGTCAAGGATATTTCAGTTAATTATTTTGCTTATGGTTAAAAAAATTGATCAAAAAATATATTAGAGACTTAAACATTATTCAAAAATATAATAAATATAATTAGAAATAGAAAAACAAATAAAAAATTCAAACTGTTGTATAAAAACAGATTGAGCTATTTACTTTGATATTTAAACTTAAAGCTTTTATTTTGATTCATCTGCTCATAATCAATAAATTAATATGACCCAATCATGTTATTGGAAACATTAGATATTTAGAGGAGCTGAATTTCTCAAAAAAAAAAAAAAAAACAGTGTAAAATGAATTGTCATTATCAAAATTTTCACTTTAATTAATAATTTAAGCTGGCACAAGCAACTTTGTTTCAAAAGGAAAAGGATGGAAGCTAGACACTAACAAGTCTTCCCCTCTTCAACTGGCATTGCTTCCCATTTTTAAACAAGAATGCATAGATGTTCAACACATACCTGTTAAAGCCCTTCATGCCATGGGTTTTTGCTAGAGAGACCTGCACTTTTCAGTCAGTTCAAAAGTGCTAGAAAACAACGTCCATTAATTTTTCTTAATTTATCATTGATGCGTGTACTTTTCACCATTCTTAACATCAGATAATGTTTTATTATTATTATTGTTGTTGTTATTAATTTTCATGGCATTCATGGACTGATTTTGCATCGTGAACTTGAGTTCATTTCCGACTGCATTGAGATAGATTAATTCATAATATCAAATTGATGCATTCACTAAAACTTTTTTGATTTGAAATTCGAATGATAAATGTGTTTTGCGTATGTTTAAAGTCTAGTTCATGAGTGATCTTAGCAAGATTTATTAAAAAAATTAAATAGAAAAATATTAGAATGAAAAGGAAAAAAAATGCCAAAGGTGACTCTGTATGCTAAGTGTGGCGGTGAATTCAAGTGAAAAAAAAAGGTTAATTTAATAAAAAAATTATAAAATTTTGAAATGATTTTATTCTTTTCGATCCACTAATAATGCAAATAACTTCAAAAATTAATATTCTCATTATCATTAAAAATATATTTTTTTTCATTTGTTAATTTTTATATAAATATATCCATCAACTATAACTTTATTTTTGGAATACAATATTATGAAAAATATATTTATAATTTTTTTTAATATTTTAGTTTAATTTATTATAAGTTTTTATTTAAAATCAATCTGTAAGGAAGAATGAATTATTTTTTTAAATAGAAAATTTAAGAAAAGCATTAGAAAAATTAATTTAATAAAAAATTATAAAATTATAAAATAATTTTATTATAATAGACTCACGGCATAGTGCTGACAACTAACTAATTAAAGAGAAAGAAAATTGGATGTTGTTTAGTATTGCTTTGCCATGGTAAAAATAAAAAATGGCCTTTCATTTAATGGATTTGCGGATGGAGAGAGAGGAGAGCAATAGGAGAACAAGAAAAGGCTTTTTTTCTTTCTTTTAATTTTTTTTCCTATTTACACGACATAAAAGAAAGAAAATATTTTATAATAAAATTATTCAAAATTCTCTCTAAATTTAATTTTGAGCATTACGGTAACAGAAAATTTTAATATTTAAGGTGATGATCTCACTAAAAAAAAAGTTTTGTAAAAACATAAAAATTTTGTGGATTTTAAGGTTTTATGGTAAGACGGATTTAATTAGATAGATAACTTATATTATTTTTAATATTTATACTGCATAAATTCAAAAAAAAATTATATTACTTTTTTTTATTATAATAGATTATTTTAAAATTAATCTCGTAGTAATTTTTCTCTATTACAGAAAAAGTTTTCCACATAATTTAATGTTTTTATAATTATGATTTTGTGATTGATTTATTTGTATTCCGGATTGTTGTGTCTATATTTGGCTTGATAATTATTTTTTACGAAATCTAATTTGCATGGAATGAGATTAAATTCCTAACAAAATAATTAGCATCCGAGTGGATACTTCAAAGGTGCATATTTGCTGAGTGGTCGACTTGATGATAGATAGAACTAGCAAACGTGCTCGCACGTTACCGCGGGGCCATTTGTATTATTTATTTAGTTTTTTTTTTAAATAAAAATTAAAGAAAATCTAATTTGAAAAAGTACAGGTTTCAATAATAAAGAAATATCTGAAAAACACATCATATTGATAAAAAATAAAAGCAAGTATTTTTGTACCTCATAAATCATGAAAAAGTATCATTATTTGAGTCTGCATCTTCAATATTTTTTTTATTTTAATTTGAGTGTGATTTAAAATAAATTTATTAATATACATTCGATTAAAACCATTTTTAATTGATGGTATGGTTGAATGAATTGAATTCTTAATTTTTTAATAAATTTAGAGATTCAACAACAGAGTCTAAATATTATTTAGGGTATTTCCATGATTAAAAATTACAAATGTTAAAAAAATTGATGAAAAAAGTTCATAAAATTTCAAAATAAGAGATGGAATGAAAGAAATTAAGAAAAAAGTCAATTATATTTTACATATTATAATAATCTGACACATCTGAAATAATTATCTATATAAAATTAAGGATTTGTGAAATCAATAGAAACAAATAAATTAAGAGAATTTTGTTTTTTGTTTTTTTCAAATGTTAAAGTAGTTGATGAATAAATAGATAAATGAATATTTAATATCATACCATGGATGTGTGCTTCAACAAAAATGCAAAAACATATTATGTTTAATTCATTCGAAATTTTACTTGGAGGAAATAAAAACTTCAAAAATTTTGGATAGAGACGAAAGGAAATATTTGAATAATAATAATTAAAAAAAAAAGAAGAAGGATAAGAAAAGGACTAGATGGGCCACCCTCGCGTGGTGGGACTGCACTCGTAGGCCTAGATGAACTTGGGCCAAGTGCACCAGGCGACCATCAACATAAATAAATAAATAAAGAAAGAAAGAAAGAAAGAACAAAGCAAGAAAGAGACGGATGATGCATCTCTACTTGCATGGCAGAAGATGCATAAAAATACACAAAAAAACGACACCGTTCTTTAAAAAACACAAATAAAAATTAAACTAAAATGGCTGTTTTGTTGAATTCTCTATGCGAAAACGACATCGTTCTTTATGAAAAGTTACCGTTCAAAATGTACGATGAAAAACCTCTTCAGTTTTATGTATATATTTTTTTTATCATAATCTCACGTCAACAATAATAACACAATATTGCCTCGTATCATGATACCATAATAAGGATGAAAACTGATTTTCAGAGCAAATGATAATGAAATAAACATAATAAAATTTATAATGAAATATTTCAGTAATTTAATACAAAAGCGGATAATTGAAGAGAAAAAAATCTACCAAATGATGGTAAAAAGTAACTATCAAGCACATAAAATTACTCGTCTCATATTTTGATTGCAGTCCTTGTCTCCATTTGACAGAAGATATCAATTCAGACAGCTCAAAAGAACATAAAGACACTGTTCAGCTAGCATGCTGACACGAACCTAAATTTATTATATCCAAAATTGTTTGTATCCCATATATCCTGACCGCTGTCACTGTTTTTGATTGACAATTTCCTTCGGCAAAAAGGCATGGTAGCTTCATTTTCTAATTACAGAAAAATAAGTGAAGAGCTTTCGTATTTATTATTAATTTACAGAAATAAATTAAATTTGACCTAATTACAACTTCAAGTCACGTAAGAAAAAACCCATAAAAAAAATAATTATCAGGGTGACGCAGCGGTAAGGACTTGATATCAAAGGGTTTACATACTTTACAAATTTTAATGACGAAAATTTTATAATATTTAAAAGGTAATTACGAATTTTTATTCATAAATAATAGAAAAACAAATTGAGTTTAGATAAAAATATTTTTAATAACTTTGATGGATCTAGACGTTTTTTTTATATCTATTTTTTTAAAAATTGAATTTATGAAATAAATATTGATAGTTATTGTTGGAGTATTCCAACAAAATCTCCTCTACGGAGTACTGCTCCTTAATTTCTTCATAGGTTTGATCCATTGACCTTTATATGACCGAGTTTGGCAAGAAAATAAAATAAAATGATTCTTTCCGTTCAAAAATGTTCCTTCCCTTTGCATTCGAAGCAGGAACACAACCATCAGATTCTTCAGGTGGTTAAGATATCCATTGAAATTTCTCATCAAGCATACTGAAAGGAAATCAAATCATTAGTAGTAATCAAATTATTACTGCCATTTCATATTATTAAGGAAGCAATTTCCGATCATCAATTTTGCCAATGCTATCATAACTAATCAGTCCCGTTTAAACGCCTCAACTTGAGCAGGAGCAGCTTGGCGACTAGCAAAAGCTAGAACTCTCGCTAATTTGTAATGCTTTTCTCTGAGATCAAACCCAAATCCTAGACCAACATTAAGCTTGAGAGTCTCTACTTGCAATTTGGGATTGTGTCAGTAACCTGATCAATTGTCCGGTTGCCGGGTTCCATGTGACAAAGAACGATGACCACAAACTATTTCATGACAACAACCAATAACATCCATGACAAGTATCGGTTTGCTGAAAAAGGGTATGGATATGAGTCATTGATTTGTTTTTTCATGCCGTGAAGCAATGCTATTGCGCTATGTTCGGACCAGAGGAAACCTTGTATTTTTTTTGTAGTTTCATCTGTTTATGTTACCTATTTTTCCCATGTTCAGTCAAAGTGTCTTTTAGCTCTTCGAGGAGTCTTTATCTGGATGAGTTACTCAAGAATTCTCTAGGGTGTCATGTTATCACGAACGAAAAGTCGAGAATGAAAATTAGAGAACTGGAATTGCATTTGCATTCCCATATTCTGTTGTTTGGAATCGTGATAGGGAATTTTCTCTTAAGAGTCTTTATTTTCTGGCCTCTTTTGTCTGTCAATCTTGAATCAGTACTTCTCCAGCTGTAAAAACTTGTACATAATAAAAATCGTTCTCTTGTTCTGTCAGCTTGTTTTCCTTTACAGTGTTATTAGTGGTCTTGGTTTAGTGTGACTTAAGTCTCACTATTGTGCTTTCTTTCATCGTATCAGAGCTACCAGGGAGGTAGCTAGTTGTTGCAAGCATAGTTTTAAATTGCGGATGGTTGAAAAAACGATTATGGTCGTTATTGCGGATCACGGCTTACTATAATACTAAAATAATAGTAACAAAATGCTTCGAAACCATTAAATAACGGACGCTATATAACGCAATCGCAGTTATTTAAAACTATTGTTGCAAGACCCTTGGCGAAGGAAATCAGCTGTGGTTCCAAATGGAATTGAGTGGTCGTGTGAATAGACTTTAGAGCTTTTAAGTATGGAGGACTTGTATAGAGTCCTATCTTGTTGGAGAAGATTTATGAAAATTTGTTGGTCGAGATGATACTTGCAGCTCCTGATAATAATGCTCAAAATGCTGATTCTCTTAAGCTGTGGACGCAAGAGAATGCCAAAACAGAATTTGTCTTGAAACGATCTCACTCTCTCGGGCTGTTCGAGCATATCCTCCGTTGTAAAATGCATGCAAATGAGCTAGCAAACACTACTCAGGGTAATCTTTCTATTGCCCAATACGTCCTGAAAATGAAAACTTTATGCTCGAAATTTTCTCTTCTGGATTCGGATGAACCAATTTCTGCATCTCGAATGAAGCTCTATATTATTCGGGATATGAGAACTGAATATACTCCATTTGTTACTTCAGGGGTGGGCTCAACAAGGAATGTAGCTGGTTGTTGCAAGCGCAATAAAAACTTGGGATTACTTGAAGCAACATGGCTTGCAAGGATTTATAAATATTTGGCCAAGGCCCACTGCAATTGCCTGGAAAATTATTGCTTGTTATGCAGCATTTGAGGCTACAGTGCAGCTTCTTTTATCTGGAGAAAAGGTTGAGGTCCAATTTCTCCAGAAGGAAACCGACCTGTTTACAGGATACTATTCCCTTGATATCGTCTTTATCAAAGTGCTATGCTATGCTATTTCTTGTGTCCACTTTGGCATCTCATATGTTAGAGTAGTAATTGGCCTCGCAGCTTTAAATAATGCCGTTGCATAACGTAACGGTCGTTATATAATGATTTCGGAGCATCTTGTTGTCATTATTCAGCGTTATTTTGCTAATACGGTAAGTCGTGATTTGCAAGCGCAACTACAACCATTTTTTCAACTTCATTGGCAATAACGATTTTGAAACATCCTGTTGCAATTATTCAACGTTATTTTACTATGTGGCAAGCTGCGATTTGCGATAACGACTGCAATTATTTTTTCAACTGCATCCGTAATTTGAAAATGTGATCGGCCTTGTGCCATTTGCTCTCTTTAAGGAAATTCTTGCTCAACAAGACCACGAGCTTTAGGATCACCACGAGCTATAACCTTCACCAACTTGTAGTCAATTTTCTACGGAATCAAATCCAAATCCTACGCCTACATTGACCTTAAGCCATCCATAGGGATCCCTTTGATCTTCGCAATAATGGGGGTGGTGGCAGAATCCTGAACTGTCTTGTTGCCGGGTTCCATAAGACATATTTATCATATAATATTTCAGCACAGACTAAGTCATGAAAAGCACCAATAAAATCCATGGTGTGATCTTTCTTTTTCTCTTTCTTTTTCTTTTTTGGTGTGTGTAATCTTCTTCGTTTATAAAGGGTATGAAGATATCATTGACGATTCTTGTCTCGCACGTTGACATAACGTAGAAAGGTTTCCAGGCGAAGAAGAGAAGAAAGGATTGTGAATTAAGCAATATATGTGGGTGGAGATGCGATGCAGGAGAAGATCGCGAAGAATCAAGAGCCGTAATGGAACCTCGTGGAGGGTAGGAAATAATAGGGAGCTTGATCAATGAAATGAAAGGAACTGAGAATGAATCATCATCAAGGGAAGCAATCTAGAAAGAGATTGAAAAATACAAGACGAGTAGAAGGAGTCTGCCTCTTTTTATTTTGTTTTTGGATGAGTGAAATATTCTCTCTTTTATCTTAGTCGTCCATGACCCGATGCCATCTGAGGGCATTACCAAATCTGTACTAGTGTAGGAAAAATCTGCATGTGAAAATCTGATCCATCAGCCTGTGACGTTTTAAATTTGAGATTATGCGAAGGATGGCTTGGCTAATGGAGGAGAGTGACTCCATTTTCACATCAACGAAACAAAACTACCTCGCATCTTAATCAACATAAGCGCATTGAGTTCACCATCAAAATCAATTTTCATAATAAAAAGGGAACATCCTTAGCCTCCTCCCATGTAGTAATGAAGAGTCTTCTAACCTCATTTGTTAAGAATAACAGATGTAATGTCATTTGGCTCCTTCAATTATTGAAGCTTTGAAGTAAGAGGGTTGTTTCAATTTTTTCTTTTGATAAGTTAATGGATCATATTATTAATAGAACCAATTAGATATGATCAAATTAGAGGGAAAAAAAAAAAAAAAAAAGGGAAGAAAAGAAAACAGAACACCTTACTTCATCCATAAAGATACCCAAAAGCTCCACAGGCTGACTTCAAATCAAGTAACATGAAAGGGAATGGAGATTAACATCTCAATGCATATAGCTCCTGCCAGCACTACCTTGTCCTGCTGGACAGAAACAGACCTTTCTGTATAAATAAATGTCTGACAAAGAGAATTATCGCTGGAGTGGTAGCCTTCCATCAACACCTATCTTCACCGCTACCATTGAGAATCCACATCATAGATTTAAATAACTACCGTTAGGTTATGTAATGACAGTTATATAATGGTTTCGAAACATTTCGTTACCGTTATTTTACTATTGCAATAAGTTGCGATAGTTATCGCCGATCAGCCTTCTGTGATTTAAAACTATATTCCATATATTAATGCTGCTTTCTGAATCTCTGTCACCAAAAAATATTGCAAATATGGCAAGTGACTCTCTCCACACACAGATCTCCCTTTCCGTCGTCAAATAATCATGCATGATCATCCGAAAATGACATCCATCGGAGTTCCTCATAAAGATAGCTGAACGAAACTGCTATATATCATAATCTACCATCCAAAATACGGAACCCCATTAAGTGAAATTGCAGGACGAGAAAAGATTGGAGAAAAAGCCAGTTTCTTTGACGTCATCAATGTTAGCAATATTGATCTGCCTCCAAAAATCCTTACTTCTTGTTAACACCTGAACTCAAACATAAACTCGATAAAAATTGTAATGAGAATCAAGATAAAGACTAGCTTGGACCCTTAATCCTTTTCTTCAGGATGAACCCAAATCGCGACTTAAGCAGTTGCCTGAAGGCAGTGGCAGCAGAAGCTTGTAGTCTCTACTTGCCGGGTTCCATAAGAAAATTTGATTGTCTAAACTGGTTACTTTACCACAGACTAAGCCATGACAAGCAATAAACTCTGAGGTGCAGGTTTTGGGGATAAAGGGTAAGGATATACTATCAAGAAGGCATGTTTTAAAGTTGTGAAGGGCAGATGCAAGAAACTGTGAACCCCAATCAGAATAGAAGAAGAGAGTAGGATTGTTGATTGAATCTTGAAGATGGTTAGCAATGAAAGTAGGGTTTTCAATGAAATTATAGTAGTGTTCAGACAAGCACTTGAAACGCATTAGGGTTTCCATGGGTAGTTTGGTGAGGATGTCTAGTATGATATCTTGGAGCATAGTTTTGAATAACCGTTGTTACGTTATATAATGGTTGTTATATGACAGTTTTGCAACATCGTGTTATCTTTATTTTAGTATTATAATAAAATAAGATCTACAATGATGACTGCAATTATTTTTTCAGCTATCCATGATTTAAAACTATGCCTTGGGGTACGGAAAGTCAGCCGGTTGCCATTGATTCTGCTTGCTAACTTAGACAATTGAAAGGGGTGTAGGGAAAGGAAACTGCAATCGAAACTGTTTTTCTGTAAGTTCACACATGTTTGTTTTGAAGGACTTTATGGGGCAGGGAGAGGGAAAGATGGGGTTAAAATGTTCGTCCTTGTTTGGTTTCATTGCCGATATAATAAAGGAAACAGTGATGCTTCTGAGGATTCAAACCCTTCAACTAATAGACAAGAAAATCTGAACATACCAAATTTGTGGTTTGCAGGAGCTAATAACCAAATAATTTTAATTTGTTTAAGTGGTAAGTATCAAATGTAAAAGCATTTTTGTAGTTTGAAACCTCCTAGTTTTCTCTTATCTGAGATGAGGGTGTTTCTCCTACAGTCCATGATCATCGTTGGCTGCTGCAGTGATACCTTATGCTGTGTCTTTGTAGATGCTTTGCAAAAGCGCTTTCAGGACATGGTAGCCTTTGCTTTCGCACTGTTCTTAGGATGAGCTGTCGTGTCTCAGCATCATCGTCAGGTGTTTTTTTTTTTTTTTCTTTTTTCGTTTGGGACTTCTAGTCCTCAGGTGGGTCTTCAGTCTTTGTCAAGTTCAGCTTTTGTTTTTGTGCTTTTCTCAAAGTTGGCTTCATGCCCACTTTGGAGCTTATCTGTTCTTATTTTTGGCTTTATCAAAAACCCAGTTCAGAACCTAGAAAGTACCAAAACCATAATTGTAACTGTTTGTGTACGAAAGATTCAAATAGGCATAGAAATCAATCCTCTTTGATGTCATGATCGTTAAGAGTCTGTATGCTTCCTAACCATTAGTTGTCTAGGGTTCAATCCAAATATATAATCAACCGCACATGCAAGCATGCTGGAGAATTCTTTCCTAGAGTCACAATCCTAAACTCTAGGCCCACCCAACACTTAAGGAATGGACCAATCTGGGGTTATTCAATGCCGTATTGTCTTTAGGCCCAAGAACTGCGACACCCAGGTTCATGGTGGCAGGAATAGAGGAGACTGTCAGCCTCACACAAGATGCCAGTTTAGAAACGCAGCCAACAAAAGGAATTGTAAAGCAGGTTTCTAGGAGTACAGGTTTGCACAAACGGCAAAATCTAAGATTGAAAACCAACCAAGCCACGATAAAACATGCCTGTTGGAAGATTCCTACGGCTCTCTTGTGACTCAATTTCAAAGAAGATTCACAGTCCAAAATTGCTCCATCACAGCATTATAGGAGCCAGCCAACACAACAAAGCAATAACCAATAAGGAAACCAACAAGACTATTTTATAAGCATCAAGCAACCAAATGAGCAGAAGGGCAAACCCCACTTCATGATGAAAACTATAGACATATGCATGTACTGGCAAGCTCATGTTCGTCCAGTTCAGTTCAGTTATGATGAAGGGCAGACCCACTTCATAATGAAAACTATAGACATAAGCATGTACTGGTAAGCTCATGATGGTCCAGTTCAGTTCAGTTATGATGAGCAAGTCAAAATTAAAACACTAGTCCTAAAAAAACACAAAAAGAACTAAGTTATTATTATCAATCTAGATCACTAGATCGTAGTAGATATTGAAATCCTACCCCACACACATATATATAGATATATATACCCCAAAGCAAAAGCATGAGCCAATAGCTAGAAGATTGAGTCAAAATCCACATTCCAGACCCAATCATACCTCACTGAGCTCGCCTTCTATAACCTGATGGTCATGTCCTGCACTCACTGGGACTAAACTTTCGACATAGCTGTGAATATCACATGAGAAGGCAGCTTCACAGATATGCAGCCTTCTGTAGCTTTGATTACTTGGATCACACAAGAAAAATTGAGCAAACTGTCCCTCCAATTTCCTCATTATCAATCCAGTCTCATTTGTAACACCAACAGGGTATCCAAAAGTATTTAATTGCATTGTATTCAATTTAGTCCAAACCTTATCATCAGCACCACCATTATCTTCCCATACACAAAGATCAATCCGATCAGCGGCCCCAGGCCTTCCATATCCAGCATAAACACCCACACCCCTTGCAGGATAATATGCCAGTGCAAGTGACCCTTTATACCCCATAATTCTAACACAAACTCCGGCCGAAAAGTCCGGTGTTGGTATCTTCCTAAACTCTTCAGTAACCAAATCAAATGACACAATAAACTTTTGAATATTACCTGATCTTCCAGCACTATTACCCAACCAATGCAATCCTCCATTAACAACGACACCATTTTGCCCTTCATGAATCACACAAGACCCAATACTCTCTTCGATCACTCTCCCATCAATCACTCTCCAACAACCAGTCCGCCACGAAAAAACCTCAACCATCACAACAGGTGATTCATCCTTTCCGCAGCCAAAACTCACTATCCTCACAACTTTGTAATCATTCTTTTGGCGATCAAATCCAAACCCAGTTGAGACCATCCAAAAGGGTCCACGAGAATTATCGATTCTTGGACTAGGAAGACAAGAGTACTGCTTCCTAGAAATATTCCATAGAACAAACCCCATCGCGTAACACGATGAGATATCGAGACAAACTAGACCATTACAAGAACCAACAATTTTTGGGAACCTAATTAAGGAACCCAAAAGAGGAACCTCAACATCAACGGGTTGGTTATTGATTAAGAAAAAGGAGAAATTAGAACCAGATGGGTTATGAAAATGGCGAATGAAAAAGGAGAAATGTCGAGAAGAACGGCGGAGATGTGCGGAAATGAAATCAGGGGAGTTGATCAAAGCAGAGAAGGGTTTAGAAACGGATTCGAAACGGGTTAAGGATTTGATAGGGAGTCTTGAGAGGATGTTAGTGAGGGTTTCTTCGGGTAAAGTGGGTTTTTTAGCCATTGATTCTCTTGATCTTCTCTTGCTTCTCATGGGAAGAGAGAAATCTGGTGGTGGTGAGAAAATTCAGGGAAATGGGTTTTTATAGAGACATATGGATATATAAAGAGGTTTTTCTTAGGGTTTGGAAATTGGAGAAAATGGGAAAGACATTTGAGTTTTGGTATTCAATGATTAATGTAATTAATAATAAATTATTTTTCCTTTTTTTTTCCATTGCAATTAGTAAATTTATTTATTTTATTTTATTTTATTTTATTTTTATTTATTTATTTATTTATTTTTTGTGTAATGTAATGAGAGTTCAAAGGATACTTACTAAAATTAAGTACTCTCTCCCTTGCAAAAAATGAATGAAATGAAATAAAAATTAAGTACTCATGTGTTTTTGAATAATTACAATAAGAGTTTAAATGATACTTACTAAAATTAAGTACTTTCTTCGTCCCAAAAAGAAATTAAGTATTTTTTTCCGTCGCAAAAACATTGTCATGTTTTTAACTGTTTATACATATTAAAAAAGTCATTAGTTAATATTTCATGTGTTATACTATTATTTTTTATTCATATTTTTTTAAATGCTTCATTTTAAAAAAAATATGAATAAAAAATAATAATTGTATGCCTTTTATAATTGATATTTAATTATAGATATTATAATAAAATATATGATTTAAATATTTTGAAAAAACAATTATTTTGGGACTAACAAAAATAAAAAGCAGAACAGTCATTATGCTATGACATAGAGAATAGTTATTAGTATTTGAAATTACATAAAAACTATATTTAATTTTTTAGAGTTGACAAAAAAAAAAAAAAAGAATTTAATGTTTATAAAATTTTGGGATTTGTTATGATAATAAATTATCTTGTAGTGATTAAGATGAAATGAGAGGTTTCCTTATCCCTCCCTCTCTTTATTTTGATTACGAATTTTTTTTCTTTTTTTGAGTTTAATGATCAGAGATATATTAGGACGAACAAGAGTTTTTGAAATTAATTTTATTCTATCAATACTTTATTTTTTAGGTTTTAGAAAATAATACTCTATATAATAATTACTAGTTGGAAATTATTAAATTTTTTCATTGTACTAGATTAATATAAAATATATATCTCTAAAATTATTTATAAAAAAATAATTTTAATTCACATAGAAAATGATCCAACAATAGTATTTTTTTTAGTGGAATAAAAAAGAATCATTAATAGTATTGTAAATTTTGAGGTATTTCGAAGACAAAATTTACTTTATTAAAGAATGAAACAATTAGTCGGCAAGACTGTGACAATCACTCAAACAGAATCAGGGAATCCTGCCGATTATCAATAATGGTTTAGAATTATTGAACCTCAAGCCCATTAAGGTTATGGGTTGGGTTTGGCCTGAAATGAATTTTTTTTTAATTTTGGATTTTAGTTAATTGAATATAATTTGATGACCCACCTGAAGACCGAAGGCCCACCTGACGACTAGAAGTCCCAAACGAAAAAAAAATCACCTGATGAAATTGCTGAGACACGACAGCTCATCCTAAGAACAGTGCAAAAGCAAAAGTGCCGTAGCGGAAACTCACTAAAATTAAATAACATGTGAAATTTATATATCGATCTATTATAATCCCTTGAATTACGTATAAATATAAAAAAATAATTTTTAATTAAATTAATTAAAAAATATCAAAAATTAAAATAAATTTGAAATACTCTCTTATAATTTTTTAATAAAAAAAAATTAATTTTTTTTTTCATCCAAGCTATATATAAATAAAAAATTTCGATCAAAACCCCGAAGCAATTCAAAAAGAAAACAAATACTAACAACCCAAAAAAAAGAAAAAATCTCAAAAAATAGTAAAAGTTAATTTTGAGGATGTAAATGATATTTTTTTGACCAATATCATCCCTATATCATAAGCATAATCATATGTTTTACTCGCTAATCAATTTGACATTAAACTAGATTAAAAAAAACTCTCAGAATTGAATCGATAGTTTTTATTTAACTTTAGCCTTTATACCATTCTATAAATTTTAAGGCCAATTGGGCTGTATCAAAAAGCCTCCATACCCTCTGAAAGCACTTCCACAAACATCTACAAAGAAACAGCATAATGTATCACTGCAGAAGCCATCGATGATCATGGACTGTAGGATAAGAGAAAAATTACGGGGTTTCAAACTACAAAAATACTTGAGTCATTATCATAAACTTTTATTTTATTTTCTTTAACGTCATCACTCATTCCTACCATCCCAATCCTTCTTAATGAGTAATATCTTTTTTTATTTGGCAAATTATACTCAAGTAGTTTGACTCGAAATTACAAAATTTTAATTAATCAAAATAATAACAGATGATTTTTTTTTAATGAATTAATGAAAAATACAAAATAAAAATAATAGGTTTCGATATTTAATTAAAGTGAGTCGATTTTGATAAATTAACGAGAACGCAGATTATAAATAATAAGTTTCGACATTTAATTTAGGCGAGTCGACTTTGATGAACCAATGGTGAAAGAATCAACTTCTTGAAAAATGACAGTAGAATTGTGAAAGAGATGACTACCTAAATTATTATTCGGAGTCATGTGCAATTTCATTTAGATAAACCCAAAAAAAAAACATTCCTCTTGATAACGATGACCATGGGGCATCCTTATTCGGAGAGGTTCAAAAAGGTCAGGCCCAATGGGCCCAATTATTAGGTGAGGGTTCAGAAAAGATAAGCCCGATGGGTGATAAACAAGCAGATAATTCGTTTAATGCTACAATTATATGGAGGTGCGGGGAATCGAACCCCGTGCCTCTCGCATGCGAAGCGAGCGCTCTACCATATGAGCTACACCCCCGTTTTTAAAGTGGGCTCACAGAAAATAGTTTAAACTATTATAACTTTCAACCTAGCTACTACGCATCGGAAAAAAATGGCTTGCCTTCATCAAAGATTATTGTTTTTGAATGGTATGTTATAATCCAACCTAAAGAATTTGAAAATTAATTTATCTTGTTTTCCACAATAAAGCTGAAGATTCAGCAGTGTAAATATAAATGAGTAATAATGGGATTTGTGAGCTCTTGTTTTTTTTTTTTTTTTTTCCCTTGTTGAATAATGTCAAGGTGAATCCTCTATTCTCATTAAATGTCTTTAAAAACTCTTGCGAGATTCACATTATTGTGGAGTATATTTCCAAAAGTTGAAAGATTTTTTTTTTTACCTATCAATGGTAATTTTTTTTCAAACGATCTTAAGAGTGCAATTCATATATAAGCCAAATAATGTATTTAGAAAAAATTTATTGAATTTTCTTAAGTATCATCTTTAAGATTTAAATTCATGAAGTTAAGAAATATTAACTGTGCCAATTTTTTTTCGATCCTACTAGAATGGCAAAATATCTCGAACCACCTCAAAAAACAAAACAAATTTCATTTTGTTATGAATTAAGAAATTGTCCAAACAATCATTTTTCTAATTAGATTGATATCTAAGATGTTCTTTCTGCCAATGCTACTCTGAATTGTAAGTGAGTTAGCATTTAGTTGTTCTTTTTATATTTCTTTTCATCTTGTTATGAATTCTAAAAGTATTGATGAAACAAAATAGAAATTTAATGCATCAAATTGATGAACATGACAGGAGATTTCGGTGCCTTAAGAAAAGCATCGGCAGGATTGCACAAGAGAACATCCAATGCTAGACAGCATGGAGTCATATTATCAAAGCAGGCAATAGGACATAACTGTGGTTTCTTCTTTCATGTCAGGAGCCAATGTTCCGCATTTCCATTGCTTTCACCTTCCAAGTTTTTTTTTTTTTTTATCCATAATACACAGCCTGAAAATTTACCCTAGAACCATGGAAGCTATCTTAATTCCCATCATAGGAAACATGCACCAACTGGTTAATTTGCCCTTTATCACTTCACAAACTTATTTAGAGACTTTGTATAGAAATTGATACATCGAAAGAAAATAATGAGCCTTTCTATGAAAACAACACTTAGGGGGAAAAGCCCAATCTCATAAAGTCGTAGCCATGCTCGGTCTAACACAAAGAATTATGTTAATAAGTTTTAAAAGTTCAGATTATTTTATTTAAAACAATCTCTCGTTATTTTCATATCAATCACTATCAATCTTGAATCTTGAATTAGAAAATAAATTCATTAGATGAAAACAAAATATTTAGTATCAATCCCATCAACCATAATAGTGAAAAACATCCATTCGTTCAAACAGTGATAGGTTTGTATCAAAAGCAAATATTCATTGAAAAAATGTCAATGACATAAAATATAGAGGAAAAGACTAGTAAGTCCTAACCTCCTATTAGTTTATCATGTCTTTCACCATAAAAAGGTTGATACATACCTTAAATGCATCTCCTAAACTCAAAAACTACAGTAATATCATATATTTTTTTCTTATTTAGAGTAAAAATATTATTAAATTTATTCAAAACAAATACCTATCTTTATTAATTAACTCAACTATCGAAAGAGTTTTTTACCACAAAAAGAAAATTTATTTTACAAGTACTCAACAATGAACAAGTTATATCGACCACATGATCAGTTTAGATAAAAAATCATCTAACCATTAATAATTATTCAAGAATGACAAACTCATCGGAAATAATTGAGACCTACAAATCATGTACGCATTTCGATCAATCAAAGAATAAGAGGACCAAATTGATGTTTCTGTGTAATACGTGTGCTGTTGTATACCATGTCGGCTATCTTTAATGCACTTGTCTAATTCATACAGTTTTAGGTGAATTTTATGGTCATAAATGTAAGTAATTTTAATTTGATCACATCCAAGTGGTTGGAGCAGCACTAATATTAAAAAATATTGTTACTTCATTTTGTGCTTTTTCTTTCTCATTAAAGTAAATTTATAGAATAAATATTGTTAATTAATTCTTAAGGTAAATTTATAAAATAAATATTATTAGTTATTTTTTAAGTAAAATAAAATCACTCGTATGTCTCGGTTTGTAATCTTTTGACTCTTGGTGTATTATTGGAATAAATTATAAATTAATTCTTTTAATTTTGAGAAACATATTAATTAGTTATTTTTGTTTCAAAAACTATTTATTTATTTATTTTATCAATATTGATCATACTTAATTTAACATATTTTCTTTAAAAAAAATATCCTTTTTTTTCTTATTAAACTTTCTATAATATCTGTTTATTTGTTATTGTTTAAAATAAAAAAAAAACAAATTAAAAAAAAATAAAATAGATAAAAAGAACTAATAATTAGTTTTTTTAAAAAAACTAATCAATTTGTTTATCAAAACTATAGAAACTAATTTATAATTTACTCCGTATTTTATTTGTTTTGGTATATAAAATAAAAATTCCTTCACATACTCATATGTGGTTATTACAATATTTGCATCTATAAAATTACACCATTAAATTTAAGTTTACCGAACTTTTTAATTATTTTATTTAAATCGAATAGTTTTTTAAATATTCATATTTTATGGAAACGGGTATTTTACAATCACATGTTTGCTTGTCTGTAGATTCCGTTGCCGATCGCCATCATAAGGATGGCACAGTAGCACTGATGCATACCCTTTTGAGAGCGATTTTCATCGAAAGGAGCTGCAAATAAAATTGATTGTTAGATAAACTGTTGGAGGTGAGCTCAGATTACTTGCGCACATTAAGACATGACCTGTGCTTGTCTATTCATTGATCACTTCATAAATTTTATTGATCACCCATTTCAGAATTTTTGGGGTGTATATATATATATATATATATACACAGTTAAAATCTTTAGTTTTACCAACATGATAATTGCACTATAAGTATATTAAGTTTTATTTTTTTTTTAATTGAGACATAGATTTTAAATTTTTTATTTGAGCATATTGATTTTTTTAAAATTGTTAATTAAATATTTTTGTTAATTTTTTCGTTAAGTGATAACTTATTTGTTAAATCTAGAACCAAATTATAATTTTATACTCTTTTTTCTCAATCGAGTACTTTAATTTTAATATTAATTTTTTCAGTTTCAGTATATCATTTTTTTCTTCAAAATTATCAATAAAGTATTTCTATTAATTTTTTTTAATTGATGATGCGTTCTTTATCTCTTGAATATCAAATTATAATTTTATATTTTTTTTACCGGAGGAAACTTTCCCCTCAAATATTCACAAGCAATGAAATTTTTTTAATGAAAAATCTCATGTTTGTGCTTTCCTTTAATTTTTATGCCTAAAACTAAATGATATTAGTTCGTTGTTTTATAATTAAAAAATAATATTTTCAATTTTTTGTTAAATTTTAAAATAGTAGAATGATTTAAGAAAAAAGTTTTCTCGAACAAGAAAAGAGCAAATTTGTAATTTGATATTCTAGAGGTAATGAATACTTTGTCGGTTAATGAAAAAATTAACGAAAATACTTGATTGACATTTTTAAAAATATTAGTGTGTTAAAAAAATAATAAAATAAAATCCATGTACTTTATTAAGAAAAAAATGTAATTTGATATTTTGGAGTAACGAGATATGTTATCACTTAACGAAAAAATTAGAGTTTTGAAAAAATTAATGTATTCAAACAAAATATATAAATAAATAAAAGTTCATATACTTTATTGAGAAAAAATTTAAATTAGTATACTTATAATGCATTTATCACTTTTAACAAAGAATTTCCACGTTAAAGACATATGACCAGCAGTGAAACCAGAAATTTAGGATTTAGGGGACAACAAAAAAATATTTTATTTTGAGGGTGCGAAACAAATAAAATTAAAGTGTATATTTAAAATTTTCAAGATCATAAGACTAAAATATAAAATTTTTCAAAGTTCAGGGTTTGACAATCCTGGCCATGGTCGCATGAGGCTTGATGTTGCACATTATACATTATATTATATTATATTATATTATATTATATATAAAACTAAAGTAAAATGCTAGGTTACTGTTTATTTATTATTGAAATACTATTCATCTAAATTTAGATGCACTATTCTTTTTACTATGCATTAATATTTTTATAATTTTTAAACATTTTAAAATATTTATTATGGAAGTTTTCGTAACATTACACTTTGATTCTTTTTTAAAAAATATTATTTTTTCAATCTGTAAATATTTTTTGTTTGGTTTTGATCCCTTTTTTTATTTTATTTTGGTCACTTTGATCTTTTTTCTCTGATTTTTTTTTTTTTTGTAATTTGGTCATTTTTATTTTTTTAATAAAAAAATTTAAGAATTTTTTTTTTAATATTACACTTTAGTCTTTTTTTTTAAATATTATTTTTTCAATATTTTTTTTAAATAATTAATAACGTTATAACAGCGAGTTTCAATCAACAAATTTGTAACAATATAAAATTTCAATAAAATTAAAAAATAATAAAAAGCTTTAATAAAAAATTAGAAACATATAGAAACTAATTATGAGGTAAACCCAATCAAAATTAGCGACAGTTTTTGTTTAGGGATATTATCCTAACGTGGCTGTGGGCAGCCATGCTTTCACTAATTTCCATTGCTACCCATGATGGGAAAACGCATGCACCAACCAAGTGGTTTGGTCCCTACCACATCTCAAACTTGGCAAAGACATAGCTAGTGGACCTCTTGCGTTCCTAAATGCAGAGAAGTCACAGAAATTGTCAATTTCTTCACCTGAAAACTGCTAAAGAAATTAATGACGAAGAACGTAATATTAGCTTCACCCGGATCCAATTTATGTAATCATAAAGTAAGCAATGCGTGGGCATTGTAAAAGAAACCCCAATATTTTGTGTGCCAATAAACCTTGCTTCGTTATTATAGAAATACACAAAAATCAGAGAAAAATTCATTTTCTTTTTTCTTTTTTCCTTTCCTATTACTCTCTTTGGTAACGATGCAAATTGTTAAAAAAAAAAAAAAAGAACCCTTTTTTTTAGTTTCATAATAATTATATTTTTATTTATGAATTATATTGAATTCACTCATAGGCTAGACCTATAGTAGATACTTAACATGTTTTTATATTTATAAATCCCATGTGAGTCTCACATGTATAACTATTGAAAACTTTAGGGATGAAAGAAATCCTACTTTTGTGGTTTTGCCAAATTTTTATGAATCTCTAATCCTATAAAAGAAGGATAGTTCGTGAGTGTCTACCACTTATCTCAATCTTTCATCTTTCCACTAAAAAGAACACTTCAATTCAAACTATGAAACCCATAAAAGAATCAACCTGCAGGACCAGCTGCTGCCAAGAGCCGCTAAGTCCATCAGCTCGTTTGTTTCAGGAACAGCAACTCAACTGCTATATTATCGCAGCTTTGGGGTGGAAGACAAGTACTATCAATCCTAGCATCGTAAAGGAGGGATTAGAGCAGACTTTGATTAAGCATCCTCGTTTCTCCAGCAAGCTGGTACTTAAGATACTGCCTTTTATTTCATAATTCAACATATATACATATATATTTATAGTTTTGTCTATTCTTATATAATAGTCTGAATTTTTAATTTATCGTTAAGTTTTTAATGAAGGATATATACATTTGTTTAGGGAGATATTTGCCTATATACTCCCTAAACATTATTTGGGGATTAGAGCAGACTTTGATTAAGCCTACCTGGCTTGACATGTTACATAATTTCAACTCCTGCATTCATCTTTCACCAAAAACAGTACATTCACAATCAGCTTTCTGGCCTTATTGTGCTTAAGGGCACCGGCGAGTTCAACTTATATGATCCAACTTGACTTCCTTGCTTCCATCAAGTTTCGAGCACCTTTATTCATCAGCTTCACCAAATGTTTGCTGATAATTATATTAAAAACTAATATAAATTATATTTTAGAACTTCATCACTATATTTCTAAGTGAGATGGTCATTTAATAAATTTAACAGGCTGATACCCTTCTCGGAAGCATATGTATTACCACCAAACATTTGGTTAGCTATGCTTTTAAGTATTCCACTAGCTTAATTTAGAAAAAAAACAAAGAATCCCATGATTATCCAACATAGAGCCATTGCTGACCCGTCATTAATCTTGTAAGGGATCCGTCCACCACAAGTTTTCGTCATAGTTTTCTACTAGTGTGGGACTTGGTTTCAATTACACAAACTGTAGAAAGTTGTTACTACTTCTCTCTACTTCTCCCTTTGTTGTATTCCTTAAGAAAAAAATGATTATAATATAATAGGTTAAAAGGTTAACCCTCTTCTTAACATTAGTTTATTTAAAAATCGATATCTAGATTTTTAATTTATGTTTTTGACTACTCTGCTCTAAATTTTTTTTTTTTTAGATTTAATCCGTTCTAAGATTTTCAGCTATCACCTCTTCTCTTCAAAAAAATTAATTTTTGATATTTTGATTTAAAATTTCACAAACGCATTGAAAAAAATTCAATTTATTTCTTAAAAATTTTAGAATTTGCCAAAATTGAAAATTATATTTGTTTATTTTTTAATATTAAAAACATAAAAAATTAGAAAAAATATAAAATAACTTGGAATGATTCTAAATTTTATCGGGAGTTCTAGATAAATCTCACTCAATTATTTTCATCATGTGACTGTTTAAATATTTATTTATTTTTGGATAAATGATATAAAACTGAATGACCGACTTATAAATCTCAAATAAAAAAAATTAGAAATGTCAAAACACAAATTAAAAATTTGAAAATTAATTTTCAAATAGATTAAAATTTAGAAAAAAATTGAACTTTTTAGCCATAACAATAATAGCATTACTCTGAATTTCATTTTTCATTCATATGATGAAATGAAAGGTGGCTGAAGATGGCAAAGGCCGGAAATTGAAATGGGTTCGCACAAAAGTAAATGTAAATGATCATGTTATTGTTCCAAATTTGGATCGAAATATGGATTCTCCTGACCGATTTGTGGAGGACTATATCTCAAACCTATCCACAATTCCTATGGACAACTCTAAACCATTATGGGAAATGCACTTACTCGATGTTCAAACATCGGAGAACGAAGCTGTGGTGGTTTTCAAGCTCCACCATTCTATGGGTGATGGAGCATCACTGATCTCAGTTCTTCTAGCTTGTTCCCGGAAAACCTTGGACCCCAAAGCATTGCCTAGTCTTCCGGTGCCGAAAAGAGCTGGTTCTAGTTGTACTGCCTCGAGTGGTTTGTGGTCGCTATTCTTGGCCATGTGGACAGCATTAAGAATGATTTGGAACACTGCCATGGATTTCATTTTATTTGCAGCAACAATATTGTGTTTGAAAGACACAAACACTCCTCTTAAAGGTACTCCAGGAGTCGAGCTGAAGCCCAAGAGGTTTGTGCATCGCATTGTAAGCATGGATGACATTAAGATGGTGAAGAATGCCATGAACACGGTAAGTCCATTTGTTGTGTTGTTTTTTTTATTTTTCATGAAAGAAGGGAAATCTCAATTAAAAAGGAAATCACCCAAAGGCAAAACACGTAATCATAATTTTTATAGTGTTAGGTTAATTACATTTGGCATGACTTATGTAAAGTCATTTTGTACTTTAAATCATAGTTTTTAGAAGTCATTTTTCATAAACATGGGATAAAAAATGAGTTAATTAGAAATAAATTTGATAGGAAAAAAATAAATAAAATTAACTCGTTGTTTGAAAAAGGGAGGCGCCTATATAAACAGGTTTAATATAGCAGTTGTGTACCCAACTAGCTTCTTTAATGAAGCAAGATTGGTGACTTTAATTTCTTCAATGATTACGTAATGGAGAGAAGTACTCCTATTGTGTAACCGATAGGTTTATTAGGCCTTCGATGAATTAAAAAAAAAGAGGTGAAATAAATTATAATCGATAAATTAAAAGTTAAAAAATTTAGCTTTTGATTAAAGCAAAATTTTGATTCAAATTGATAACAACCTACTAAACAAACATATATATGACTTTTATTATGCGTAAAATTAAAAATTAATTTAAATCAATTTTCAAAAATCATGTATACCAAAAAGAACCGTAGTTTCTTTCTTAGATAATTGCTTCTCCAAAACTAAGTTAAAATAAAAAAAATAAAAATATGGAAGAGAAGAAAAAATCCAAGGAAAAAAGAAGGACAAAACGACAAAAAAAAATCACTATTATTAATAATTTATACTGAATTCTGCATGTTCTTTAGTATATGTAAATTAATTAATGTTTTATAGTAAGTATATTACTGTATAATTAATTATTTTTTTTATTATCTACAATGACTTTAATAGACCATCAATGATGTGGTAATGGGAGTTATACAAGCTGGTCTCTCACGATATCTCAATCGGAAATTTGGTGAGTATTAATTTTATGGACTATAGATTTAGAATGATAATAATAATCATTAATAAACGAGTTGTGAAAATTAGCAGGTGAGAATCAGAAAAATGAGGGAGCAAATTGGAATGCAATTAAATTTTCAAAGAGCGTCCGTCTCAGGGCTGTGGTTACAGTTAACTTGAGATCAACTACAGAAATTAAGGTGAGTACGTGAACTCCAGTCAAAAATATTTATTGCAAGTGCATCGTATGTATATATATATATATATATATATATATAAAAGGGGACATTTTCTTTTTGTAAAATATTTTAAGAATGAAAATTATTATTCTATAATGTTTAGTAAATAATTATGTGAAAAAATATGATGATAATGGAATAATGATGAAGTTATAGTGTGGATATGAGGTGACGGTGGTTGTAGTAATAGTTGTGATGGGGTAAAGGTGGAAGTGATAGAGATTCCGACAAAGACAAAAAGTAGAAAAAAATGGTAGAATGTTATAGGTGGTGACAGCAAAATTGAAAGAGGAGGTGACGATGGGCATGGCAAAAGTGATAATGGTGGAGATCATAGTGATGGAGTGATAAAGGTGGTAATAGTGATCGGATGGTAGCAATGATGATGATGATGATGATCAAAAGAGTGATGGCAACAGTGAATGGTAGTGATGGGGTGAAGGTGGAAGTGATAGAGATGGCGAGAAAGACAAAAGGTAGAAGAAAATGGTAGAATGATGAAGGTGGTGGCAGCAAAATTGGAGGAGGTGATGATATCAATGACAAAAGTGATGATGGTGGCGATCATAGTGATGGAGTGATAAAGGTGGTGATAGTAATAGGATGGTGATTAGATGATAGAGGTGGTGGTGATGATCAAAAGGGTGAAGGCAATAGTGAGTTGTAGTGATGGGGTGAAGGTGGAAGTGGTAGATATGGTTACAAAGAAAAACAGTAGAAGAAAATGGTAGAATGATATAGATGGTGGCATCAGAATTGGAAGAGGAAGTGATGATAGCAACGACAAAAGTGATAATGGTAGCGATCGTAGTGATGGAGTGATAAAGGTGATGATAGTTATAGGATGGTGATTGGATGGTAGCGATGATGGTGATGATAATCAAGAGGGTGATGGCTATAGTGAATGTAGAAGTGATGCTAGATGAAAAGATTGTATAATATTTTAAGTTGATTATTGTATATAAAATATTTTATAAAACTTTATGAGCTAAAAATATTTTCTAACAAATGAACTAAATTTATGAGTTAACCTTTTTTAGGTTAGCAATTTTTTTTGTAAAATATTTCAACTATTTCTATATATATAGTTTTTAATAATATTCTAATTTGTTTCTTCTTCGTCCTATTAAATGTTGTTTCCAAATAAGCAGACTTTCGCTAATTTGATGGCCGAGGAATCCAATATCCCGAAATGGGGATGGGGTAATTGGATAGGAATCATTATCCTCCCCATCACCATTTCCTTAGAAAATGACCCATTAGACTATGTACGAAGGGCTAAAGCCACAATCGATCGAAAGAAACTCTCGCTAAAAGCTGTGTTCACGTTTCGGAGTGTCATGTTCATACTCAAGTTATTTGGAACCAAGGTAATTAAGAATATATCATACTTTTATTCCTTTCCAAATTAATCAAATATGCACAAATAAATCTCTCTCGGTTTTTTTTTTTTTAATCTTTTTTGAGATATAATAGGCAGCTGCTGCTACAACCCACAGAACTTTTTGTAACACCACAATTACGTTTTCAAATGTTGTTGGTCCGATAGAAGAAATTAGCCTGTTTGGTCATCCCATTGCTTATATTGCTCCAACCATTTATGGGACTCCCCATGTAAGTATCTAAATGGTGAAAATAATCATGGATAGATTAATATTGGTTGAATTGGTTGAAACTCATTCGGTGTTATTGTACACGATATTGTGTATTTTAATTCTTTTATCCATATATGTTACGAAACAAATTATATATTAGGAACGTTGAAACAAATTAATTTTTTCATCCAATGTCTGATCAATCATATACTAATGATTAATAGTTAAGGGAAATAGATGGACAAATTAGTTTGCTCCAATATTTAATAGTAAAGTATTTATTAATTTTTTACAATACCTAGGTAAAGAAGTTTATAATAGATAATACAAAGATACGTATGAATTTCACCCGATTATTTGATTTTCATGTACAACGTTCTCATATTTTTTGCTTTTTTTGTTTTTATTTTTATAGGCATTGACAATTCATGCCCAAAGTTATAGCAACAAAATGGCCGTAGTTCTAGGTGTTGATCCAGATGTGATTCCTAATCCTCATGAACTTTGTGATGACCTAGAGGAGTCTCTTAAAATCATCAAGGATGCTGTCGTGGAAAGAGGACTTAATGCTTCCTAATGCAAGGAATAATTGCTTCAATGTTTTTTTTTTTGCAGTAATATTTGCATAGTTTCTCATAGGTGTGTAACTAGTTTGGATGAAATGAAATGCTAGTAAAAAATCTCATGGAATTTTCAATGTATTCTTTTGTTTGATGCTAAAATTCTTTGGCAATGTAATATTGTTTATTTTACTAGTTTTCATTTCAGTTCCTCTAGCTTTTAAGAAATTCAATTCAATTCCTTATTTTATTTTTATTTGCTAATGGGACCTACTTGGAGCTTTTTTATCCTTATATTTTTCTGAAAAAACATTTAGTACTTGTGATGAAAATATTCTCGCAATAAAATCCCTATATTGTTACTTTAAATCACCTTGCAATTCCTTACATAACTAACTACCTCCTTGAACTTTTATTAAAGTTTCAATTCTTTATTTTCATCTATTAAACTAACGTAACTGATTACATGATTTTTTTTTTTTAGTTTTCAATTAACCTCTTAAAATATTAAAAAAAATCTCATCAATCAAACCTCAATTATTTTAATATTCATAAACGTATTATATATATATATATATAATACGTTTATGAATTGAACTAAAAAGTTTTTAACCACAGTATTAGATTGCTATGATTTGATTAAAAAAATGTAAGATTTATAGTTTGGGTTTGTGTATTTTTATTAATATTTTTGTATATGCAAAATTTATACATTTGAAAAATATAATATCAAAAAATAAAATATGATATTAATTTAAAAAAACAAGATAGTTAATATGATGAGAAACACGTGATTAATTAATTTTTTAAAAAAATTTTAGGAATCCATTAAAACATGAAAAAACTATCACATAATTAAAAAAATGTCCAATGAGGCCCGATGGAGTTGGGCTAAGGGGCTTCAATACTTTCTCCTTCTCTATTACTCTACAAGATGACCCATTGGACTCAAGCCCACAATTGATAGCCTACAGGAAAAAGGCTCTTACAAGAAGCTATATTATCATTCGAAGTGGGATTAATGGCATACATTTTGTTAATGTGGTTATTTTATTCTTTTTCATTTATTTAGTCCATTTACTCTAGACATTTTTTAACATGATATTTTTTTTATCGAATTTTGATTAATTTTTTTGACAATAAATGACAAATGGATTGTCACATCAGATAATAATAGCATGTGATAAAAAATTTTAATTTTAAAAAATATTAAAAAATTAATAAAATATAACTAAAAAATCGGAAAAAAATATTTCTTCAAAATTAAAATTTTTTGACACATTTCAGTACTATGTTGCTAAAGAATCGATCTAAATCATATCAAAAAAATCACATTAAGGAAATATCTAAAAAAAATTAAGTAAATAAAAAAACCACGTAAGAATATAAGAATTTAATATGTGATTAATCATTTCGAAGTGCCATATTAATAGTCAAGCTGTTTGGATACAAGGTAAAACATTAATTCTAATTGATTTTGGAGAATGAAAAATTAATTATTCACATGTGAAGAAGATGCAAATAAACCCGAAAAATTATTGCATGCATCTAGTTCACCGTTTAAGATTATGGATCAAATCAATAGAACTTTTACACATCTCTAAATTTATTCACATAATCACATCAGTATATAATAGATGCATTATTAATTATTTTATTTCATAATTATAACTGCGATATTAAACATGAAAGATTAACATTCTAATTATGATTTATTAAATAGATGGTTTAGATAAATTTAATTATCTATAAATCTATTAGTTTTGTTTATAATCTTAGATGATGGACTAAAATTTATTCTAACACTAAAATTACATTTTCAAATGTGATTGGACCGCTAAAAAAAATTAGCTTTTATGGCCATCCGACAACTTACGTTGCTCCAGGTGCTTATGGCCCACCAACAAGCAGGCACGAATCCTCTTCTTCTTGTTTTTGTGTAAATTACAAGTTAGTCATTTTTTTGGACAAACAAATTAATTAATTTTTTTGTTTTAAAAATTATTTATTTAATTATTTATGTGTTAATTTCATCAACAATTTAGTATTTTCATATTTTTTATTATATTAGTGATTTTTTTTTAAATTGCTCCTTTTTTTTATGTTTTATTTCTTTTTTCATTCACTCTCTTTCTTTCTTCTTGAGCAAATTACAAGTTAGTCTTTTTTTTTTTTTTTGAGAAACAAATTAATTAATTTTTTTCTTTTAAAAAATTATTTATTTAATTATTTATGTTTTAATTTCATCAATAATTTAGTATTTTTATCAATTTTTTATTATATTAGTGATTTTTTTAAATTGTTCTTTTTATGTTTTATTTCTTTTTTCATTTACTCTCTTTCTCTCTTCTCAATTAAAAAAAAAAGACAATTTTAGAATAAAATCATTATTCTAACAAAAAATTAATAAAAAAAATTGATGTAATTAAAAAGTAAAAAACTAAATGATTAGTTTTTCAAAAAACAAAAGACTAATTAATTCGTTTTTCCGAATGAAAATGAGTGTGTGTATATATATATATATATATATATTGTTAATCGATGGAATGGATTAATTAATGAAAATGGCCAACAGCCTACAGCCAGTACGAGTATATATATATGCCCAATCTAATTTAATTGTTTGCTTGAATATAAAGACACACACAATATAATTTGATTGTTTGCTACACACACAAGCAAATTATATTGTTCTTTTTCATTTGAAATCAGGTCAATAACAAGAAAATAAATATTAATCCACTTAGGTAAGATTACTGCAATCTCTAAGTGGGTTAATATTTATTTTCTTTTTGTTGGCCTGATTTCAAATTTTTAAACTAATTGAGGTTATGTTTGATTAGAAATAATTTTTGACTTAAATTAAAAGTTTTTTATAAAATTGAGTAAAAATTTTATTTTTAATTTTGCATAGAGATTGTGAGAGTTGAGAACTACTATGTCATATATCTATTTGTGATTAGTTACTGTTAATTATAGTTAATGATGCTACATCGAATGAACGAGTTGACATAATTATAATAGAAAGTCTGAATTAATAGATTTATATAAATAAAAAGTTTGAATCAAACTGAAAAATTATAAAAGTGCTAAATGAAAAAATTCAAACTTAAAAATACTTTTAACTTAAAATAATTTTATGACAACTTATGGATTATGACTCAAAGTTAAAAAGTCATAATTCAAAAATCATGTCAAACATATACTTTCTCAAATAAAAACATGTATCCAAATGAAATTGATATAAGACGGTGACAACTTCAAGGTTGCCCATTTATTCCTTAACATAAATTCTCATACGTTTTCTCTTTTTATTTCATTTATTTATTTTTATTTTGATGGGCATTGGCAAGTCTGTAAAATACAAGCAAATAAGTTTAAGTTTAACGATTGTGCATTTAGTAATTTCCTTTAGTACAATACATTTAATTTTTAATGATTTTAATTTATTTCATTACTATGGAATAAAAAAAATACTATTTTTTATTGTGTATTATAAAAATCACGAGACTTTTGATAACAAAAAAGGTTATAATAATAAAATAATGTTCGTTCCAGCGGTTGATCCACATGCGATTCCTGAAACTCGTAGAATTTGTGATGAAATGGAAGGATCTCTTCAAATCTTCAAGAGGTTGCTTCAAAGAGTACCATGCTTTGTTTGAACATGGAAGAAAAAAAATAAATAAAGATTACCAATTATCATATTTATTATAAAAAAAAATGGATACGTGAATTGGTTAGCTAACTACCATTCAATGTTCTTTAGAATTAGGGTGTCTACTTCTCATGGAGTTTTTTTTTTTACTTTTCTTAGGTTTTCATATATTATATTAAAAATAAAATTAATCATGTTCAGAATAAAAATAATAAAATTTAACTTCTCGTAACAAGTACGATTTCAAAATTTTAACTCTATAAATTGATAAAAATATTCATTTAAAGATTAACTTATTTATCATTAAATCAATAACTTGTTTTCTCGTTACATAGTTTTTATTGAATCATTATATCATAAAACTAGATTTGGTCCATTTATGTCCTCTGGGGTCCTTTTCATCTTTAAGCCCTTATATCTATAAAAAGTAAAATATATATATATATCTATAAGCAATTTTGCCTTGGATACTTAGTCATACATTATCAATTTTACAAGTTATCATCAATAATGATTGGCTATAAAATAATGTGAGTTGGTGAGGCATGGCTTACGAATTAAACAAAATTAAAATTAAAGTTTTTTTTTTCTTAACAAAAACTGTCAACAAATCACATGGTTAAGCTGGAAATTTTGGTCAACCAGAGCAAACACTTGGGGAATCATAGATCAAAGAGAAATAAACAAAGAGATACTGTCTCTTTAAGATGTTAAAGTAACGCACATCAAGACCTGTCTTCTGTTTTTTAAAATCATGTCTATGTATTTCGAATATCTTGACCTTTCAAGGAAAGGAGAAAGTCTTCGACTTTCAAATATGTATAACAGAAAGGAAAACTTCAAGGTCAAAGCATTCATTAGCGACAAGCAAAAGGCCTGAAAACTGGTCACCAGAATCCCATTTCTTCTTGTAACTTGGCTTAAACCATGCAGTCGGCCAAAAAAGCCTCACATCAAGGAACTCTAATATCACCTGATCTTGAGCCTATCAAAACCAAGGCAGCTACAAAGAAATGGGAAACCAAAGAAGGAACAGAGATGGCAGATTCCCAGGAATCAACCAGCTCCCAAGAACCACTAAGTCCAGCAGGTCGTTTGTTTCATGCACCACAGTTCAACTGTACTATCATCACAGCTGTTGGATGCAAGACCAGTATCAATCCTGGTGTTATCAAGATGGGGTTAGAGCAGACTTTGATTAAGCATCCTCGTTTCTCCAAAAAGCTGGTAAGATTTATACATGTTTTTCATGTACTCTGTCTTTGCTCTGTTTTAATCTCCATCTTGGTTGAATCTTGACATCATCCAATTTGCTTTCTTTCGTTATTAGATTCATCCGCATCATGGATGTGTAACTCTAGCTGTGTTATTCTTCTCTCTTTTTGATCGTCATGACTCATCATCCGTTGATCGCTATTGGTATATAAAATTGGCAACTAGCTAAAACCAAGAAGAGAAAACTAAAAAGAATTGCTAGGAATAGTCAATTAGCATTTAGCAACCTTCGATACATAGATTCAAAGTGAAGGCATTGATTAATTCATGCCATATGATCCCATGAGGGCAAGAAACAAGCTCAGGTCCATGAGAAGCCTCCAAATCATAGACCAGATGAATCCATGGTATAATCTCAGAATGACAAAACCAGGAATCAAAACCCTAATCTCAACCTAGAAAACTCCAAATTGGGTTAGGTTCATTTTTTTATGCCTTGCCAGTTTATTTGACTTTCCATGCCATCCATGCTGACTTTTTCTGCTACTCTATGTTCAATCCATGCCTTGTATGCTGATTTTTCTTCTTATTTCAATTTAAAATTGAAGCTGATTGATGATAGCAAGTGTGGCACGAAATTAAAATGGGAAAGTACTAGAGTAAATGTAGAGGATCATGTTATTGTTCCAAATTTGGATCCAAAACTGGACTCAACCGACCAATTTGTGGAAGACTATATCTCGAACCTTAGCACAATTCCGTTGGACCTCTCAAAACCATTATGGGAAATGCACATCCTCAATGTCAAAACATTGGATGCAGAAGCTGCTGCGGTTTTAAGGATCCACCATTCCCTTGGTGATGGTGCATCACTAATCTCTCTTCTTCTAGCTTGTACCCGAAAGACGTCGGACCCGGACTCATTGCCTAGTATTCCGGAGCAAAACCGAGCCGGTTCTCATTTACCGGGAGGATTTTGGTGGTTGTTTTCAGCTATGTGGAAAGTGTTAAGATTGATTTGGAACACTTTGGTTGATTTGATTTTGTTTGCGGCAACAATGTTGTTTTTGAAAGACACAAAGACTCCTCTTAAAGGTGCATCTGGGGTTGGGCTAAAGCCTAAGAGATTTGTCCATCGGACAGTTAGCTTGGATGACATCAAGCTAGTAAAGAATGCAATGAACATGGTATGTAGGAATTCTTTTTCCTATTTTTTCCTTCTTACCGGCCTAAATTTATTGCCAGAACTATGCTTGTTTTCCTTGTGTTATTGGATGGTTTGAGTAAGTCCACTTTTGTTCTTTGTGGTGATTTTAGTAGACCATCAATGATGTTATAATGGGAGTAACACAAGCTGGCCTCTCACGATATCTCAATCGAAAATATGGTGAGTGCTTTACTGATATTTGATTTCTTCTTTCATTGTTTCAATATTTCTTCATTTTTTTCGAAGAATTATTCTGCAACTCTGTCCTACCATGAAAGCAAGGTTGATGTTAGCAATTCCATAGTTTTAAATAACGATGGTTGTGTTATATAACGTCCGTTATTTTACAGTTTTGAAGTGTTCTGTTATTGTTATTTTAGTATTATAGTGAGTCGCGATCCGCGATGGCGACCGTGACCGTTTTTTTCAACCGTACGCAATTTAAAACTAAGGGCAATTCTATAGTGGTAAACATCCTAACAAGCTAGCATTAAATTAGCAGGTGATCAGACTGAGGAAGAAGAGGGAGCAAATCAGAATAAAAATAGTCTCCCAAAGGGCATACGCCTTAGAGCATCTGTTCTAGTTAACATAAGACCAACACCAGGGATTCAGGTCAGTCAATAAGCTCTTCTGATTCCCTACCAGCAATTTTCATTTTTCTATGAACACTCCAAGAGTCAAGACCTGTGTTTTTCTTTTCTCTGTTTTTTACTTATGTTATTTACCTCATAAGCAGGCTTTGGCTGATTTGATGGCTAAGGATTCCAACAATGTCCAATGGGGATGGGGAAATAGGATTGGATATATGATCCTCCCTTTCACCATTGGTCTACAAGATGACCCTTTGCATTACCTTCGAAAGGCTAAAGCCATGATTGATCGAAAGAAGCTCTCACTAGAAGCTATATTCTCATTTCACAGTGCCATTTTACTAATCAAGGTATTTGGATTCAAGGTAAATAAATGTAAATTAATCAATTTATATTCCTCTTCGATTTCTTGAGCAGAAATGGACCAGCTTCAGTGCAGCAGTTTTAATTCATTTATGGACATATGACAGGCATCTGCTGCCATGGCCAGGAGAGTTATTTCCAACACTACGTTGGCATTTTCAAATGTGGTTGGTCCATTAGAAGAAATTAGCTTTTACGGTCACCCAGTGGCTTACATTGCTCCAAGTGTTTATGGAAGTCCTCATGTAAGTAATTTTTTTTTCACCCCTCATAAGGAAGTCAAAATTTTTCGGATAAACGGTTCAATCTATCCTTATATCAGGTCAAGTCTTTAATTTATCTTTATATTTCTAACCATGCCTATTATGTTTTTGTACTATATTTAATTCTCTAATACGTCTTTTTATCGAGTTTTTCTATCCAAATTGACATAATTATATTTTTTTATTCTAAAACTACCATTGAACTATACAAAAAATAATTTTGATTTTTTTAAAAAAAAGTTCAAATTTTTATTTTTTAAAAAATTAATGGTTGAATGATCTTGAAATTTTTTATCTTTAAAACATTTTACGCAATTTTGATATTTTTTCTATTATATTCTTATATAACTCAAGGGTAATTTTAGAATAAAAAGTATAATTTTATTAATGTAACTGAAAAAAACTTGATTGAATGACATATAAGAGAATTGAATACTATACAAAAATAGTATAGATATAATTAAAAATATAAAAACATGTTGAAGGTTATATAATTATATAGTGATAGATTTAGCTTTTCATTATTTTTATTTTTTTATCTTTAATTTTTCTGTGTTTATTTATTTATTTTTGCAGGCATTGACAATCCATTTCCAGAGCTATGGAAATAAAATGACAATTGTCTTAGCAGTTGATCCAGATGTAATTCCTAATCCTCATGAGCTTTGTGATGATCTAGAGGAGTCTCTTGAAATCATTAAGGATGCTGTTGTGAAAAGAGGATTAAATGCTTCCTAGTGCAATAATTCATCCCAAAAAAGAAAAAAGGAAAAAGAAAAAGAAAAAGAAAAGGTCCCAATTGTTAATTAAAGTTCAAAAGCGTCAAATTACATGATTTTGTGTTTTGCAATATTTGCAGAAATGAAAGATTAGCAAAACCATCTTTGCAATTGATACCCACTTGCGCTATAAGGAAGGATTATCCATATGATCTTATAGGCCAAATTTGGGCCTCCAATAAAAGAATAAGGTCCAACAAACAATCCAGGCATAAACGAGCCAATTTTATTTTCTTTTTCTTTTTTTTTGGGGCTTAACAAGCAAATGTTAGAAGTTCATTGAGTAAATTATAAATTAATTCTTTCTGTTACTAGAAAAAAATTAATTAGTCTTTCTCATTTTAAATGCTAATAATTTAGTTTTTTATATTTTAATTATGTCAATAATTTAGTTCTTTTATCAATTTTTTTTAGATTAGTATTTCTTTTCTTTAAATTGTATTTCATTTGATGCTTTATTTTTCTTCTTCATCCATTATCTTTCTCTCTCCTCAACAAAAAATCAAAAGAAGAGCAATTCAAAAATAAAAATTACTAATCTAACAAGAAACTGATGAAAAAATTAAATTACTGACTAATTAAAACATGAGGGATTCAATAATTAGCTTTTGAAGGAAATGAGACTAATTAATTTATTTCTCTAAAAAAAGGGACTAATTTATAATTTACTCAAAGTTCTTTGGAACTGCTGGCCCCTGAAACTCATTCCTATTTTCAACTTCATCATCCCTCGACACTGCATCAACGATTGAGTTCTTTTTTTTTTTTAAAAAAAAAAAAAAAAAAAAAGAGAGAGAGAGAGAGAGAGAGACTAAAAGAGGTCTTGAATTATAGATCCATTGCTCCCATTAATGCAAGTAACATAAATATCTCAATAGCATCTTAGGGAAAAGAAACACATTCAACACCATGCTTGCTTGCTTTGAAAGCAAAAACAATCTCATGAATTAAATACATAAAACCAAAATAAATGTAATTAACACAAATAACCATTTTACAAGCTAAAGACATGTATAATCATAGTATTTTTAAAAAATTAAAAAAATCAATATCCATTTAAATCACGCATCAAATAAAAAATATTATATTTTTTTGTTAAAAAAACATATAGAAAAACCTCATTACACCTATATCATGATCAAAATTTAAGATATTTCTACAAACGGATCAATCGGATATAGATATATCACTTTTTTAGTTAGCTAGCGATAAAACTCGAATTGCTGAACTTTAAACTTTGTCATTCAAACTAATACCTTAAAAACTTACTAAGATAGTTATTAAAACTCAATTAGTTTATTAACCCAATAACTCATCTAACAAAACCTCAAGTCTTTAGAAATTGATGATTTATAAACGCTTAAATTAGATGTATTCGAGTTACTAATCCAGGTTTTTTTTTTTTTTTTTTTTTTAACCGAGAGCTGCTTGGTATTGTTTTTTTTTTTTCCCTTTTCTATTTTAGTTTTAAATTTTTGTAAATTGAAATGTTAAAAATTCTTTAAAAAAAAAAAAAAAAAAACTTTTGCAACGAGTTTTCAAAACTTTTTGACCCTAAAGAAATGCTCATCAAAAGTTTTAAAAATTAATTTCTATGTAATTATTATATGATTCGGAAAGCAAGTGGGTTCAAGATATTGGATCCAAGAGATCAAAGGATCACACTGAAACTAATCATATACATATATATACAATCTTACCAAGAAATTAATGATGATATTCAAACATGACATTTGAGGTCAGAGGAATCTTCTCCTTTAAGTTCCATGGCTTGTAATTATCTTCAACTTTATGGACATGCTTTTCAATTATAAGATTGCAATGTCCTTTTACTTTCCTCCTCGACGAGCAGGGAAAAACTTTCTTAGTAGAGAAGTTTTCTTTATGTGTATATATACAGAGAGAGCTGAAGAGGATATTTATGATACAACTTTATTTGTCATGTCACTTTACAAAACATGAAGTTTCGTCTAGAAAAAAGAAAATGATGTATTATAATAACATCATTCTAGTATCATGAGATTAAAAAAATAAAAATATTAAAAATATTATAAAAATTTTCCTTTTACCTAAAATATTCTTAATAATATACTTTTCATTTAAATTAAAATAAAATATGACACTATGGAGAAAATAAACAACACATATGAATCCGAGTAATTAATATATTGAGCGTGGATGAATAATATTTTCTTCGAATTTTTTAATGTTTTGTATAATAAGAGATAATTTCTTTTTTTTTAACTATATAATAAACAAATGAATTGAAATTTCTAAAATTCGAATATGTTTTATTAAAAAGTTTATCAAATAGTTTTTTTTTATTATATAATAATCAAACAATACGAAAAAGAAAGCAACTCTAAAAAATCAAGTTTCACTATTAAAGTTAGAAATAAAAAATTAATATTTATAATGACAATGGATCCATAACTATACTAAATTTACAGCATCACATATGGTCCCTTAATTTCTTACATTTGATCAAATGAAATACTATATACTTTAAATTGAATTAAATTAATTACTTCTCAATCAAGAATAATTTCACCCCCTTCATGAAATTCCATGAAAAATCAAAATATCTCAAATCATCTGTAACTATTATTAATCGAGATGTTGATTTTTCTTAATTAAAATAAAGAGTTTGATTTTATCAAATATACAAAGGTTAGGGATCAAACTTTATTTTTACCATGTTGTACGGTAACCATAAAAGGTTCTAGAACTCTCGATAGAACTCCTTGTTTTCTAAGTCTTTCTAGTCTCCCATCTTCACTTCTTTGCAAACATCGAAGAAGGAGAACTCAAAAACTCCTTAACCCACACTCACCGAGTTAGCTCAGTTCAAGAAAGAGACAAAAACCCAAGAATGGCGATAATCTCTGATTTAGAAGAAGAGCAAACCGGCACAAAGTCTGCATCGTCATCCCATACCCCTCCCAAAACGTCGACGTTTACTGCAACATTTGATCCACAAGAGCCCATAAGGATTGTGGAGAGAGTTCTTGATTTCTTGGGGAAAGAGAGTGATTTTCTTGAGAAGGAGACGGCGGAGAAGGAGATCTTTACGGTGGTGAAGAAGGCAGTGGAGGAGAAGAAGAGGAAGAAGGCGGCGGAGGACGAGGAGAAGGTGAAGGCGAAGAGTAAGAGGTTGAAGGAGGAGGAGGAGGAGGCGAAGGGGAAGAAGGAGAAAATGGATCAAGACGAGAAGAAAGAGGAAAGTGGAAAGACAGGTAAATGAGAAATGGGTTTTATTTAATTTTGTGTTTTTTGTTTTTGTTTCGTTTTGTTTTGGTTTTTTGGTTGGTTTTATGTGTTAAAGTTTGGAAATTTTTGATGTTTTGTTTTCTTTTAAGTAGTAAAAGATTGAAGCTGATTGAAATTTAGGTGAAGTGGAATGGTGCGGAGGGTAAATTCTGTTTTTTTTTTTTTTTTTTTTTTTAGTTTGATTTTCCAAATGGGTTATAAGATTTTGAAGTGTTTTCATTCCTCTCATTTAGAGGGATTGTTCATGTTGTGACTGTAATGAGTTTGGGTGTTCTTGATTGTGTAAGTTGAGAATTGAAGAGAAAAGGAGTAGGGTTTTGAACATTTTGTTTCTTGTTTCTTGTAGTATCTATCTGGCTGTTGGAAAAGAGGAGTGGAAAGTATTGCATTGAACTTCTTTGAAGTAGTGAATTGTTCAATTCTGTTCTTTGTGAATTTGCTTGACGATGATGGTTGTGAAATTGCTTAATGATCTGTTAGAAACATCGCTTGTGATATTTTGCTGAACATTCAAGGGTTAAAGTTTGAACTTTTGTTTTTGAAATTCATTAGATTTTGAATGAGGTTTTGAACTTTATGCGACGAGAACCATATAGGATGGTGAAAGTTGCAATTTATAGTTGGTGTGCTGTAGTTGATGAAAATGTTTGATAGATGGAGTTTTTTGATAAATTAACATGACTGCTTACTATTTACTTGCAATGCATCTGTTTGTTTAGTCGGCAACTAGGCACTAGCTTTCAGTAAATTCTGCAGTTCTATGTAACTTTGGCATCAATGATAGGATTTGCATGTTGCAATTAGATACTAAAGTGAGCATATAAACCCAACTGGAGATGAACTATTTAATTAGTTATGTAGAATATCTATGACTTACATGCAAACTTCAGAGGGTGAATTAGGCATTTTCATTACCGTTATCTTTAAAATTTTGAAGGAAAGGTGTTCATTGCATGCTTTACTTACTTTTCCCTTGCTGCTTGTTGTTTCTAATGGGCAGTTCCAAATAAGGGGAATGGTCTTGATCTGGAGAGATATTCCTGGACGCAGACCTTGCAAGAGGTTAGTATACAAATCCCAGTCCCTTCTGGAACTAAATCAAGATTTGTTGTATGTGAAATGAAGAAAAACCATCTAAAAGTTGGACTCAAGGGCCAGCCTCCAATAATTGAGGTAAGTTTGCTTGCAAATGTGTGTTCTTTTATGAAATGTCCCCTGGTGAACTTGAGCTTGTACAGTTGGTTCTCTCTTCTAACTTTTTGCTTTCAAATACTTGTAGGGAGAGCTCTATAAGCCCATCAAGGTTGATGATTGTTATTGGAGCATAGGTATGCTAACTACAACCAGTCATTGAATTTTTTCAAATGGAATTATCTTCATGGCTATAGACAATATTTGGAAAAATTTAGCAAACACTGAAATATGTAAAGAATTGAGCATCTTCTTTCGTTGTGATATTTGCTCTTTTGTTTCCTCTTCAAGAGCCATCAGATAAATGTGAGTTACTCATCATATATACCATTGCATTGTCTCCAGAGGACCAGAATACCATCTCCATCCTTCTGACAAAGCAGGACCAAATGGATTGGTGGAAATCTTTGGTGAAAGGAGATCCTGAAATTGACACCCAGAAAGTTGAACCTGAAAACAGCAGACTATCTGACCTGGATGCTGAAACGCGGCAGACTGTTGAAAAGATGATGGTAAATTTTTATGCCTTTTCCCCCTTGATCGTGCCTAGTTCCTCTGTCTTGATCAACTGAGTTCAGGTTCTTATAGTTGCTTAACTGGCATGGCATCTGGTTGAATGTGTCCGTTCTCACAGTTGGTAATTGTGCTAATTCAACGTTGTTCTTAGTTTTTGTGATTTCAATTTCCTTTTTTCTTCTGTTCAGTTTGATCAGAGACAGAAGTCTATGGGCCTTCCAACCAGTGATGAGATGCAGAAACAGGAGATTCTGAAGAAGTTCATGTCTGAGGTGAAACCACAACTCTCTTGAACACTCTTTTCCCTCTCTTCGAAAAATTTGCATCCCTAACTTTTTTTGTTTTGTTTTTCTTTTTATCTCTTGTATCACATCATTAGCTAATCTGTCTTTTGTTTTTGATCTATTGCAGCATCCGGAGATGGATTTCTCAAGGGCAAAGATAGCATAAAATGGGAATGTTTGATTTTGTCTGATGTTTAGAAATTGGGCCAAGTTGTCTATGTCTATTTTGATCAAGTGGATTTTGTTCTTGGTGGGCTTGAATGGTTGAACCATGCTAATAGATTTACATCTCTCTTTTTGTGGGCTTGGAATGGCTGATTGAAATATCATAGGTTTTTAAGTTTTCTTTGAAGCTTAAAAAATCTAGACAAGCCTTTGCAGAACTAAATATACTAAAATTCACCCTTTTTTTATGCCTTTTTTCTTTCCTCACAAAGCTTCCTTCTGTTTTGTTTTGTGCAAATTATTGCTTGCTTGTGCACCTCTATGTGTGAAAGCGTCTCAGTGGAGATATGTCCCCTTCACGGTAGTGGATTTTCTTCTTGTTCCTCTCCTGTCTTGTATGACGAGCTTGGAATTTGGAGTCTTGCGCTATATCCCATGAACCCACCCGCCCTGAGGAGGTCTGTTTTGTTGCTACGGTCGACTCGGGTGGTTGTGCCCTATAAGCAATGGCATCTGCACGGTCCACAAACTTTCGATAGGGGGTGGGTTTCTCTTGTAGAAAATGGTACACCGTTAAGACCAAGTTTTAGAATTACCCATTTGCATTTGTCAGATTCGTTAATTACAAAATGATGTGACTAATGACCATGATTCGTAAAAACTCCAAAGTGGGTCCCTGGATGTGAACTCTAATCGTTCCATGCCTACTGCTGCTATTGCATGATTGATAATATCGTTCTTTCCATTCTTCCTTGTGGACCCTCTAGTGAAAGGGAAAGTGTCGATCATCTAGCGAAACATAATAGAAATCAAGAAAAAGGTCATGGCGAGACGTGCCGTTTATCGGTAAGATAGATATAAAGTAAAAGTGCAGTGATGTATGTAGCTGAGTTAGGCATCCTAATACAATGTTAAGTGATTTGATTAGCTAAATGAGTTTGCTCCTAATTATTTAATACCTGTTAAAGATGTGATGAACAACAACAGAAGTTTTCTTCGAGGAGTTGGCAGTATTAGAATTTGGAAGTAGCTCTGTTCTGTTCTGAGTTACATCGCCTTAAGGTAATTCTAACCAATTATGCTAACCGGTTAAAGCTAGCATGGTTCGATTTGGTGCGGTTTTCTTATGTTATATCATTGGAAAATCAAATGTCATCATGTTCATGCATAATTTCCTTCAATGCAATTATTACTGGGGGGAAAATAGAATTTGGATTTAGCATTCGAGGACATGGGAGCATATAAACAGGAGGGAAGATGATGTAAAAGCTGATGTCATAAAGCCAAAGTTTCTATCTTTGACAAGACAAGACGATGAAGAGCTTCTTTTGGCTCACGGTGGAGGAAGTGCGGTGGTGTCTCCTTGGTGGGAAGCCCACCAGTGTAATAATGAAGGAAGGAAACGACAAATTTGGAAGCGGGAACAAAGCAAACACTTCACTTTCAAGACTGTGCTTAAGGAACAGAAGAATGACACGTGATTGTATAAAAAAGCCAACCAAATCCTTCTCAGCCTGCCCTTTTCCATAAAAAGGCTGGGGACTAGAATGAGGTAGCATCAAGTTTGTCCTGTTCCTGGGTAGGTCCTTGTTGCTAAAGCCCTTGATAATTCCAGAATCTGCAGTTTTGCAAACAAAGACTCATAGAGAGGTTTTTGTAATTTTGTGCGTAGTGTGTTTTTGTCATCAAACTCTTGTCTTTGATTACGAATTCCACATCTATGTTAGACGTGTTAAATCGTACTCCGAAATTGATCTAAACATAAGAATCAATGAACTGTAGTCTTGATTTTTTTGGTAGCTTGAAAGCTGCTGGGTATACTTTATGGGATGATGTAATTAGCATGGACATGTTTCATAGATTTGGTGGAAAAGAATTAGAACTATTTTGAGGGTTGTGAAGGATAGTCGCGTTTGCTACGATTGCAACATCCGAAGTATCGATGATCTACTCTTCGTCGAAGCGAGTTTTTTTTTACGTGTTTGAAGCGTACATAAAATTAGACAAAACAGTTAGGACAGATATGATTGTTTTTAATATCGATGTGTTTTTATATTCAAATGAAAAAAAAATATATATTAAAATTTGATATATATATATATATATATATATATAGGACAATTATCCCATATATCTAAGTATTTAAATGGATATATAGCAAGTGCTTTAATTAGTTTAGTTAGAAAGTTGCGTATATGTCTCAAATTTTCAAATAAAATAAAGAGATTAAGTAGAAGAAATTAAAGAATTATAACATGTAAGGAATGGATATATATATATATATATATATATATTTGATTTTTCAAGGTATTTCAGATTCAAAAATCTAAATTAATTTTTCATTATCCAATCGGGCACATGAAATAAGTTCAACTATTTAATGAGTTTTTGTGAATATAAAAACTCAAAATTAAAATCATTTATTTTAAGTGACCAGAGTTCATTTTAGCTAAAGTCAATCCTCTTGAATATATATATATATATATATTTTCATATCAATTTTTATATTATTTAAAACTAAATCTATCATTCTTTAAATTAGTTTAGTATCATAATACATTTGATTTTTTATCGACTATAAAACTATCATTGAGGTTGAACCAATCCAAACTTGTACATATTTTTATTTAAATCCTTAAGTAACAAGTTGTTATAATTATTAAATGTAATGAATACTCCCAATTCCTTAATTAGCAAAAAGGAGATCATGAGATAACCCCAATTAGAGATTAAAGTTTAATTTATTGGAATTAGTAATTGGGATTTGTGAAGACAAGGATGTGCTCTGTTCCTCGAGCACAATTTCCCATATGAAAACAACAGGTATCTATCCAGCTTTTACCATATTTTCAAAGCAATCTTTCTCATAGAACATCATTGTCGAACAAATTTTTTTTTTTTTTTTGTGGCTCTCAAAGTCTGCTGTGAGTTGTGATCTATAGCAAACCAGATGTTTTGCATTAATATTTATCGATTACAAAAACTGATGACGTTTGGGTTGTAATTTAGCATATTATGTTATTAAACTAGGATTAGCATTTATAAATGGTTAACTGGTTGTAAAATATCCAAAATTATTGGTTAAAAGAAAAAAAATTCTCTAACATTTTTCTTTTTATTCAGGTCTCTAATCATTTTTTTGTCCGTAATTGATTTTTTATATCTCATTGATCAATCTTAAGTGACATGAAAACACATGAGCTATTAAAATAATGATACATGTCCTAAAAGCTCTTAACATAAAACACGTAGTTAGAAAACGAATCAAACAAAAAAATACAATAGAAAGACAAAACAATCACACAATACAATTAATTTTGTATGATTCGACAATGATGCTTACTTTATGACTACATTAGAATTTTTTTTATAGATTTTGTCAAATGACAGCTATGAATAGGAGTGATGTTTCCTCCATTTAAAGAGACCGTTGTAATGCAACTGTATAACGTCCTATATTATAAGCCTTCACCCATATCAATTTTTAAAATTTAATAACAAATATCGTTGTTTTATAACTTTATATATCTCTCTCGTGTATGTCTATAGTGATCTGAAATTGATTTACAGAACAAAAATAAAATGAAATTAGAGATTCAAATTAAAAAAAAAAAAAGAGTCAAGGACTTTTCTCGTGTTGATTATTAATGAAAAATACTTCATAACAACCAATTAGCATGTATAAATCATGTTATGTTTGACCAGTCAAAAGAAGCTATTTAAATTTACTAATTACCTCGGACAAAAAATATTATTTTATTACTCTGATATTTTTGTAGGTCAGTTTCATGGGTGACACATGACTGATTTAACAAGGCAAGTGGATCCTATACTAGGATAATTTAATAATGACAGAAGATAAAGAAGATAATTTGTCAGAGTTACGGGCATAATGGTCGGCCAAATGAAATGTTTTTAAAGCTTTTTTCCCCCAAAGAATGCTAACGTACGAACTACAGAAGATAAATGGGTAAAGATTGAATAACATTATGAGAATAGGTTTCAATAAAAAAAATTAGGAAAATTGGCAGGTAAAACAGCAAAAAAAATTATGATTTTTTTTTCTGATATTAAAGTATATTCAAGAAAGTATGCTTAATGGTGTTATAAGAAACATAATTTCTATACTTTTTCTCTAACGCAATACTACTTTTTTCATAGATAAATATAATGTGTGTTAAAAGTGAAATTATCTCAGCAAACACCACATTAACCATGATTCTTCCTCTTTTTTCTGCAGTAATCTTGCTTTTTTTTTAAAAAAAAAATCATCTTTTTGAAGGATTTCCTCATCTGGTAGAATATTTAGTCTGATAATAGAAAACACAAAACATGTTTTTGGAAATTTCTTTAATAGTCTAGAAGTGAGAAATTCCAAAACCAGCACCCCGAATATCGTTGGACACAGAACGAAATTCTTCACAATTGGACTAATATTTTTTGTTATCCGTATATCTAATCTTTTGGAATATAGCTACATGTCTAGATCAACCTTGTGATTCTGTTTGGGTTATTATAATTGTATACTTTAAATTCTTACTTATTGTTCAAGCCTATATCAATCAAGAAGATCAACTTAGTTAATTGCTTTGATCCTTCTTTTCCCACAAGTAAATACTACATAAATCCATAAAAAAAATCATGCTTATGTTTATTGTTAGAAAACGAATCAAGAAAGAAGATGAAAAACAAAAATAATTACATAATATAAGAAGTTATGTAATTTGATAATTGTATCAACTATATTAATGTTTTTTATTATGTTTTCAATCAAAATCAAATATTTGATCATGAAAGAAATAGAATCTTTTTTTACCTTCGTTTGCTAACCAACTAATAGGATTATCGTGCTAGCTTTGTATATCACATTAACCTGCAGTGCAGTTCATATAGAAATCGTTCTCTACAATTAAGCACTTATACATTCAAGCTAATTAACAAAGCTACGAGTTCGTAGGATTTGCATGAACTATGAAGAGCAAAACTGGGGCACATACAATGAACATTTGATACCGTATAAAATTTTACAAGTGGCAACAAAAGGACATTTGTTGTCACTTTAGAACTCAAATCCAAATGGCTTTAGTCCTGTTTTCCATAAATTTGACGTTGTCTTCTCTCACGCATGGTCTGGCAGAGAAGACAAAGATGTCCAGATGCAGAACTTGGCTAATGGAATGGAGCACTAAATAAGCCTTTGTTTGATATGGCTAATTGTTCAAAATAGTACTCCTGAATTTTTTATCAAATATAAATTAACTTTTGGTTTTGGTTTTTCGAACTATTAGATCAAAGTTTTCGTTAAAAATAAATGATTGTAACCTAAGAAGATTGACTTAAGTGGAAGATGTTCTAGTCGTTTAAGTAAGTGGTCTCAAGTTCGAATCTTCGTGTATGTAAAAAATTCTTTAAATAGCTATCTCCACATTATGCACCCCATAAAACATCAAGGGATTAGTTTGGGTCTTAAGTCATGGGATACCTTAGAGGATCCACAAAAAAAAAAAAATAATAATGATTGTAACGGCTTTTTGGTGGGTTAAAAATAAACTTTTTAAAATTATAATGATTAATTATGCGATCAATTATTTTGACATGATAGTTTAAAAGATTAACTAATAAGTTGTTGATCTAGTAATAAACGAATTGATCTTCAAATAATTTTTTTTGTTAATGCGTAGAGTTTGAATTTCGAGTTGTGCTTGTTGAGAAAAGTTAGATTTTATCACTTTCATTTTAAACATGATTATTCATATCTCTAATATAGGATATAAATTCTTGGAAAAACCCAAAAAGATTTTTTTAAAAAAAGAAAGGCCAACTGTCAAATTGAGTTTGACCAAAAGTTTATAGGAGTTTTTAACCAACCAATTTACCTAATTATATTTATTATGATTGGAACTTCTTGCAAGTGTTTTTTTGCATAAAAAAAGTATTAAATTATTTTTTAAAATAATGGTTTTTGATGATGTTGACATTCATATATATAAAAAAATTCATAAATATTTAAAAAGATATCAATTCGATGTCTTTTAATTTGAAAAATACTACAATCACAATATCAAATGAAAATAATAATATCGAAAACAAGTCTATTTATCATCAAAATAAAATCAAAGTATCAATAGGCTTCTAGTTCCGTGATAGTGATCTTTTTGCAAGTGTTTTTTTGCATAAAAAAGTATAAAATTATTTTTTTAAATAATGGTTTTTGATGGTGTTGACATTCATATATTAAAACAATTCATAAATATTTAAAAAGATATCAATTCGATGTCTTTTAATTTAAAAAATATTACAACCACAATATCAAATGAAGATAATAATATCAAAAACAAATCTATTTATCATCAAAATAAAATCAGATTATCGATAGGCTTCTAGCCTAGTAGTAGTGATCTTCTTACATTTATAGAAAATCACGAATTCAAATCATTTATTTAGAGTATTTGAATCTACAAAAAAACCTTATTACAAAAGA